CAGAGAGAGAAGCTACACTCATTTAAAGCCCAGGCAGCGTGGGTCATGCTCCATGAATTATTCAAGCTGGCCGCCAGTTTGCAGAGCGAGTTTTAAGTGGACAATGACCCTGTGCACACTCATTTAGCCTGCGCCTCGGCTAACAAGGCTAAGTATTCACTGACTCTCCACTATCCTCCACTAACAAGCTAATGGAATTTCAGTCAAGAGAATGCACTGAATGGCTTAACACGGGCACGCCTCGTTCTGGCCCTTTATACACACACATATCAATATTCAATTAGATCCGTGGGGTTTTTTTCAGCGTGGCCTTGTTAAGTAAAAAGTTGTGTAAAGGGAAAGCTTGCAAAGGCCAAAAGGCTAGTTCCAACCAGGCGTTGATGACTTAAATAGAGGTCTATACCTTTTTCTATAATTACAACCTCGGCTCAGAGAAAAAGAAGTGGTGTCGGAAAAACTGTATCAACTCTTAAAAGACAAGTATACTTCATAAGACTACATTATACAACAAAAGGAGGAAGGATGTCTTTTCAAAGTACCTTCTGTATTTGTGTATTTGGTCTTGTTCTCAACAAATACAATGGATTATTTATGAATGGCCCCAATATAAAAATGTATTTGTTAATCAAATTAATAGCTTCACACAACACTGAAACACTCCATAAAACTCCACTGCCTTTACTACACTGGCCATCTTAACACAGGCGATTACACACTGCACTGAGCTCATAATTGAGACTCTGGAGGGGTTGAGGAAGCTCAGATCACCATGAAAGCTGATCTGGGACAATTGGTATTAGTCTACCAATTTTTTTTTATCTACGATTTTTAATAATGTCATAAAATATCCTATGTCAAATATGATGGGATGTGTCACATAGATTATCTTTGCTTTCCAGTGCTACGTTGCATGTTTGCCTATTTTTACACAGTATTTAGTTGTGGATTTGACTGTTGAATGCTGTTTAGCAGTTGAAGGATTTTACAAGTTGAAATCTTGACAATAGAAGGAATCAGTTACAATGCAACTACTATTGATCTGTTGTTCAATTTAAACTCATATTACCAACCAGAATCTTTGAACTTTTAACCCTTTGATCTTACACCTTTTGTCATCGTTGTCAAAACTTCATGGTATTGTCTTACAATGCCTTATTAAGCATAAGCAATACAATCTAATAAATTATCTTTCCTGAGTGAGCTATACACCACCTGATCCCCTAAATCCTACCCGATTAGAAAGATTATAGAGTGGAGTGAAACTGAAAAATGATAACATTTGTGTTGCATGTTATTTACTTATAGGGTAGTCTTACATTTAGTTGTGACAGATCTGTAGAGAATATATGAATCCTGATGTCTTGTGCAGGAGGACTCCAGGTCAGGTAATGCTTTCTCTGAAACAATGGATTTCTAGGTGAGTATTTGATGATTTTTGTTTTTATCGACACGCACAAGGAAATGCTCAGACTTCGTACAGAAAACAGATGGACAATCTGACAAAGGATGCGCGTCATGCTTAAGGTTGGGAAGAAAGCCTCTGAATAACTGGATGTGCTTATCTGCCGACCAACCACTGAGAGTCATTCGTTCGCCTCAGTCAAAAGCAGCAGAGTGAGCTACGACTTAGTAACCATGCCAGCATTCTCACTTCATGTATTCAGTTGAAAGCGCAAATAGCTCTTCTGTATACATCTCTTACCAATGTCAATGGGTAAAGTAGTTATTACCAGCAATTACTGTCAGGGACTCTGATACTATGCACCTGCAAGTTTATGATAAGTGGCAAATGGCAAATGTCAGTATTGTGCTAGCAAAGTATTCATAAGAGGTTTGATGTCTTAAATGAAAGGCAGATTAAGTCTGGTGTTAGTAGAATTGTTGTGTTTTTGTCTTGATTTATAGGACTTGGTTAAAGTTTTGCCAATTGCAATGACTTTAACAGGAAAGCAGTGGATAGCATAATAATAATAATAATAATAATAATAATAATAATAATAATAAACTTTCAAAAGGTGGAAACACTGAAACCAAAGATAACTGTTAAGGGAATGTGTGATGTTTACTTTTTTGTAACCATGCACCTTGTGAAGGTAAAGAAAAATGGATACAACCACTATCAATTAGCTTGAATTGTTTTTCCAGCCGTTGCAGTGCCTTAATTTCAAAGTTCATTGAATGTCATCGGAAAAATCCTTGTAGTGTTTCATTGGGGGGAACGTCAGTTCAATTTTTTGTGGCAAACTAGTTGATGTGTTCAATTGAACATAAAAAAAAAAAAAAAACGGGACAAAGAAAGAGCAGGCTTAATTCCAATTGGCTATGAGAAACAAAAGCCCACTCAACCTTGTTGATAGAAATTGCACTTGAGAGCAGAGCTGGCGAGGGCTACAGTAAATACTGATTAATTTGAATTCCTAATGAATAGGCTCTGAGCCTGAGAGAAGGAAAGGTATTGAAGGAATGTGACATGTATTCTTGATAGAGTTAAAAAAAAAACAACAAATGCATGAATAAAGGAGGGTGAAGAGGGGAATAATTAATTAGTTTGCCAGACTGAAGTGTGCATTCAAACTGAAGGGCATGCTGACAAGACTTGCTCACACAAATGCTCAAGAAGGACAAAATGTGCTACAAAAGTTAAGCAGAAATCAGAGTCCAAGGTCTATGAGATCTGTGTGAAGCAGCGTCCCTTAAATCATAAGGGACCTTTTACCCAAAAAGGTTGTTGGCAATGTTCATCAGGTTCACCATGCACAAGTAGAAGCTCTTAGTTCAGAGGACACAGATTAAAACTAAATGATTTCATGTTTACAACACCTATAAGTTCTGAGCTAAATGCATAGCTGCCAAACTTCCTCTAGTGAGTCTTTATCAAAAAGCTGGTAGATGCTGATCAATGGCATTCACAGATAGGAATTTTAGGGTTCCGCTTTTACAGAAAACAATCCTTAATAATAATAATAATAATAATAATAATCAATTTAATTTGTACCGCACTTTTCATTAGAAAAAATCTCAAAGTGCTACACAGTGCAACCAAAATCATAGATAAAATCAACATCATAAAAATCATGTGGAGGCAGAATAGGCTTGCTTAAATAAGCCTATTGCTTGTCCATTAACCTGACCTAAAATTTGTGTGAGACCAAAAACAGGCACTGAAATATCCTCATTTTAACGCTTTTATCTGTTTGTTACTCGACCAAAGTGGCACAAAAACTAAAACTGCAAAGCAGCAAATCAAACAGCATTCATAGACAATGTGTCCATCATGAAGGTAAGGAATTTCTCCAGTAAAAAGCCCTGGATTAGCCCTGAAATAAAGGCTCTTCTAAATAAAGTATAACTGGATCAGGACAGAAAATTATGGATGGAAAGAACATCTACAGAAAGAAAATGGAGGTTCAGTTGTCGCATAGCAACATCAGTCGGGTTTAGAAGAACCCAAAGACAATTCCAGACCACAAACCAAGCCCCAGGCTGTAAAAGACCTATGGGTCAACAACTTCAACCAGTTCTTTAACAGGTGTGACCACTAACCACCAGAATGTTTTCCGTTCTGGAAAGAAAATGATGAACGATGTTTGTGGTGTAATTTCAGCTAAGTTACATGTACAGCACAATTATCAGAATGAAAAAGAGGACAGATACGTGTAACATCCTCATCACAACAACGTCTTGCTCCCACAATTAAATCTTTGGAGATTGAGGCACTTACTAAAATAACAGGAGATGGTGGTAATGGTGGGAGAGCTGAAAATGTGCAGATATACAAGATAAGTGACCAAAAGACAAAGTAGGAGAAGGAAGACAGAGATGGTTTGGACATGTGCAGAGGAGGGAATGTGACTATATTAGATTATGGATGTTAAATATGGAGCTTCCAGGGAGGAGGAAACTAGAAAGACCTCACAGAAGGTATATGGATATTGTGAAGTAAACTGTGCAGAAGGACAGTGTGACAGATGTGGATGTTAAGGATAGCAGATGTGAATTTGGGGAGATGGATTTGTTACCGAGACTTTATCAGAAAATATGAACCCTTAACTGAAGACTTTTTTGTGCAACTCATTTTTGCTTAGCACTTTAGCAGTAAACCAAAAGCCCCGCGCAAAGAAAGTGGTGACAAATGTCTTTATGTTATTTGGTGACGACCCTTTGAAATGACAGTTTTTTAGAGTGTGTTTACCATTTGACGGAATGAAATTTAAAACCCTTTTCACTTCATGTGCAAGACTGTCCGCTGTGTGCTACGTTTGTCTTTTTGTGTCGAAACAAACCTTGATGCGGCATCTTTTGTCTTCAAGAAGCCAAGACAAAGGAAAAAAAACACGAGATGTGTGCTGTGCTCGTCTCCCAGGTGGAAAAAAAAAAGAAGAAGAGAGAAGAAAAATAAAAGGTAATAGAGAAACGTTATGCAAATGGGTTTTATAAGTCAAGTCGGGCATGTTGTCTTGACACTCTCTATATTTAAAACAGGTCACCTTAACCCCACCCCCACCCGTCTCAATGACAGACACAGAGTGAGACTGCACTGACATCTGTATCTTGCGCTGTTGCATGGACACCAGCACATATAAAAAATGAAAGGCACAACCGGATCTTATTTGCATATTCACACTCGCGCACACACACACATCGCATGCACGATGCACTCACAGGGACATACACAGCACGACAATAGCCGTGATATATGTATATATGTAAAGCTGGCCAGCCCCATTCTCTGTAGGCCAGGACCCAATCATTCCAGCGCGCTGAGCTGAGAGACAGGCAGTCAGCCACTCAGCCCAGCAACAGAGGTGACAGCAGAGAATACCTGACCTCAGTTCATTCACCCATCCCTCCAACCCGTCCCTCCCCTCCAGCACACGCTGGCCCCATCACATTCTTTTACTCCTCCATATTCAACAACAGCGACATGCATGCGTATGTACAAGCACTGATTTTATGAAGCCATCGAGTGGCCATGAAGAATGACTGCTGCCTATTTACACCTCCCTGGCCCCTGCAGGCCTTCAGGCACCCCCTATTTACATCCTTCACTCCGAAACCTCGATTTTCATAATTTTCATCACTTCATTTGCCCCCTTCTCCCTGCTCCCCCGCTTCCTGTCTTTCCTCTCTGTTGCCTTGACCCAGATACCAGTAAAGACTAATGTCACTTCTCCTGGCCTGAGCAGGACCACTCATATCTTGCCACCATTACCCCTCCATATTGACATCTTTCCACCCCTTTATTTTCTTATCACACTCTCTCCCTCTAACTGTCCATAAAATATGCCTTGGTGTTATCGCTTCCCCCACGCAGGAGAATAATGAAAGGCAGTGGCATGACAGATTGGACATAGATGAGATTGCCGCTGTGACGATATGCACGGCTCGCCTTGGCCCCTTCTTTGCATGTGAAATGGAAAAAAGAGGGCAGGGTGTGTAGGTGTGGGAGGTGCAGGAGGGGATGTTGGGTGCAAGAGTGTAAGCCTGGGGGGTGGAAGGGTGCAAGTGGGACATTTGATGCCAACGCATGAGGAATCTGTTTCACATTAAACAGAAGTAACTATGCATGCGTACAGGTCAGTTATTTGATGTAGAGTCATTACTGGTGTGTATAAACTACTTCGAAGTGACTGGCAGCTGGACGGAGGATGAGATTAGGTAGATTACAGCTGGCGAGCTTGGGCAAGAGCACCGAACATGCTGCCAAGATGGCCGCAGCAGCGTGGCGGCATCCTGCCAGCAGGCAACATGTAGGCACCTGTGACTGCCACAGGCGGACACCGAGCTTTGCCGTGGTGCCAACAACTGCTGCTACAGCAGGAGGAGGGTGGGGGTTAACAGGGGCGGGGAGAGGAAAGGCTGTTCTGAGGGAAAGAGCCTCGTGTTAAACTATTGAAATGCTCCTCAATGGGGGAGTGTAATTAAAGAGAGTGTGATCGGTTTTGTTCAGAGCATAAAATCAAATTTTGTTTCAGTGAAATATCAAACTAGTTTTTTGTGTGCTATTTACCTTAACCTACATCAAGTTTAATGTATTATGTATTGGTGTCCTCACTGTTCCATGTATATTTTTTATGCAATGCATTGAAACATCTTTAGCTACTGGAATTTTCTGACCCTTTGCTTCTAAACAGTCAGAGTTTCCGATAGCCCATTAAAGTTTTCTTGATCAGGATTTCCAAAAGTCTTTCCAAGCTTTTCTTCCTTCATTACCTTTATTTGTCCAGCTAAGTTAACCATTACCATGAATAACAACCTGTAAAAGTTCAACACTATCACAGTACTTACACAAAAATGTTAATCAAAATTGGATGCGTTACTGTTGCTTTTTCAAACTCCTCCTAGGTGGAGGGTGGGTCTCCTTTAGTTTCCCCACTTTGCTTGTCTGTGTTTTTCACAACTGGAATATCTTCTAAACAAACAATGTGATCTTTTGATTACCAGAAATGCGGAGTATCTGGGGAAGGAATATTGTAGCATTCAGCCTCCTTCACAATTATCGGCACCCTCAAAAATCCAATACTCTACTAGGCAGTTTCATCTTCTAGCTTTGAAACATTTTCTGTGTTTTTTTTTAACAGTTACTCATGCAGATATATATATATATATATATATATATATATATATATATATATATATTTTTTTTTTTTTTTTTACTTATCTTACTATTTCTTCTCACTAAAAGTGGTACTAAGACCAATTTAACCTCTTCTTTAGCCTTTTTTGTATTGGATCTCTGTTATTTTAAACTTCTTAAATTTAGCTAACTGTAGCTAACGGGAAGCTTAGAGAAACAAGTATTCCTTTTTTGAAATTTCTTGACAAATGATACAAAGCTGCTGTACTGTAACTGCATGATATCTTGTCAAACCCAATTTTCAGAGAGGCTAAGAGAATCCCTGTACCTCAAATCATATTTATGCTCCAGGAAAGCAATAAGGTGATAACTAATAAGAAGTTTTCAAGTGTTCCGATCAACTTGAAAAGATGAAATGACAAAAATTGCAAAAAAATAAATAAAAAATTTTCAATAGCATCTCTGGAAAAAAAAAAAAGACAAAAAAAGAAAAAAGAAGGAACCTCAACTTGATGTTACAACTAGATCCAGGTCATAACAAAAACAGGAGACCATGCTGTGGTTAAGGTGCAGAGAAAGGATTATTTATTAACAAAAACTACAGTGGATTGTGAATGTCAGTGCGATATGCAAGTGCTTAGATGTGTTGCATGAATGCATACTGAAGTGTTGAGCTGAAAACACAAAGTCAAGCATTGAGGCCTGGCAGCAGAGCACCACATTCATCAGGAGGCAGAGTGAACGTCGAAGGTGGAGACGGTCAGGTTTAAATATTCTGTGCTCCCAATGAACAGATCAGCCACACATGTAAAGAGGAAGAGCACAAACAGACACCAGAAACACCTGCAGCCCAGCTCATAAGGCCCAGGGCTGCAACACTGGACTTCTCTCTCAGATTTCTCTCTGAGATTCTGCTTCTCCACAAAGGTAAAATACCAGGTGCCGCGGCCTTCTAAGTTCCAAAACCAAAACTTTCCAATAAAGGCCCTGGATGGTAACAGGTGGATTGGTTCTTGCACACACTTCCAACTTGACTGTTTGAAAAAAATACATACACTTTATTTCTTGAAAAAAAAATATGGACAAAACAATTACTAAAAAATGTCCAACAACTTAATTGAAACAAAAGTTAGTAATCTGATGTTTCAAGTTCAAAAAGTAGTAAAAAAAAAAAAAAAAAAAAATTTACAACAACTTTCCTTGGTCACATCGAACATTTGCCAAACAAAAGCACACCCACCAAGCACCCAGTGTGTTCTTAATCACTTAAATTAATGGGAGGGTCTAAAGGTTGTCAATCTAAACAATTCCAAATATAAAAATTAATTACAGACTTAAGTATATTCTTACTGCCCAAAGAAAAACTACATTGATATAAAGTACAATTTACATAAATGACCACAACACAACAGCTACTAAATTTGGAATGCATGTACCTTTTTGACCCTTTACTAATTTGCAAACAGAGGAAATTTGTTTTAAAGATGTTTTTCTTATTAAAATAAAGTCAATAAATCCTGGTTTTATAATTTATAGAATTTTTCCTGAACAATGAAGAAATGTTCCATCAATTAAGATGAGTAATGTTAGGTTTTATTACTATATGATCCCTTGAGTTCAGCCATAGTCTAAAAGTTTCAAAATGAAAACCCAAAGACTAAGAGTGGAATTAGCTGGAAATTCTTCAGAGCAAAATACTAAATAATTATCTAGCCAAAAAAAAAAAAAAAAAAAAAAAGAAAAAAATCAGCAGCCTTGCGATATTGTGACGATGTAAAGGTGGTACAAACAAACTGAGCAGAACTGGAAGAGAGAGGAGGTGGAGAAGAAGGGCAATAAAATGTGGTGTTTTTGGCAGCACAGTCTGAACCGTGTTGCAGCTAAGCTGAAAGCGAAACTGACATGACCCAGAGTGAAGCAGGTAAACAGGCCCAACCTGCTTTGCCTGGGGTGACCATCTGGTCCTGTCTCATGGCGCACCAGCCTGCAGGATTGACACACATGCACACACACACACGCACACACACACACACAGAGCAATACTCACAAATACACAGGTGTACCTGGTGTCCCCGCTCTGTTCGCCTCTGCTTTTTGCTTTCGTCTCTCAAAAGATGACATGCTTTGGCTTCAAGCAACGGGAAGCATCAGGTAAGGGAACAAGGAAAGCAAGCATATACACACAAACACACACGCATCCACGCAGACACCAGCAACATATGGCGACTAGGCACAGTGTTGTAGTCCTTAAGTGGTGTTAACTTGACCCAAGGCAAGAAAGACTGAGATGGGAAGAAGGGAAGACAAATGGATCAAGAGGGAAGGAGCTGGTTAAAACTGTGGCAAATTCATGTAACAGATACCTGCAGCCATCTCTGACACAAACACACACACACATTTTTTTTTTAAGCAAACCGACTTTCGTTTATTCTACAAAAAAAGCCTTCACAGTGTCGGGTTTTCATTTAAAACAACCTATCATCTTCACAAGTGTGCTCAAAAAAAAAAACTCTAATTAAAATTTATTCTGCCGCCATCAGCGACTTGTTCATTATGCAGAAACAAAGGCAGGCTCTTTGAATGAGAGCAGAAGAAAGGCTTTTCTGCTGTTACGTCTTTGGCCTTTGCCAGGGACATCATGTATTGTAATGTTTCACACAAGATAAAATATTCATAAAAATGAAGGGAGCAAAGTTCCAGCAAAGGCAGGGGGCAGCAAGGAAAGAAAGTGGGGATGTAGGGGAGGTGGTGTTAATGAATATGAGTAATCAAGTTTGCTATCTCCTCCTTTTTATTGAAAATCCTTTTTTTAAGTTAATTAGAAACTATTACTATTCTAATTGGCTGAGACTTCCTCGATCAGTTCAGTAGCACCATTATGGAGCGATTAAAGACTCACCGAGACGGAGGCAGAAAAAAAGCTTAATCTATCAATCAATTAGGATCTTTAAGGAAAATTAGATTTGCTTTGTTATCATGGTTGATCTTGTCTTTGGTTCAGCTGCTATGCTTTAATTTTCATCCTTTCATTTTTTTTTTTAACACCATTAGCCAAATCTGTAAATCCTTCAATATTCACTTGAGTTGTGACTATTAAGGAGAATGTGTTCCTTTGTATAAAGGAGCAATTCACCAGTTTATCTTGAACATGTTCTTATTTGAATGTCTTAAATTGCATAGTAAATTTTGTGAATTAGTATGTTGTATTTCTGAGGAAAACATCTATGCTCTATTGCTCCTAGGCTTGTTAGTTAAAGCACCTGTCATAATATAATTCTAATCCATTCAAAGCAATGAAGAGTTCTTATAATCTAAAACAAACGAAGGCTCTTTGCCCAGTCAAGAGAGAAAGAAAAAATACAAGAGCAACAAAATGAGCATAGATGTTGCAGATGTTGTCACTGCATGTAGAAACTTCCAATTATATGCAAGGTTTACATCAGGGGTGGCCAAGTCCAGTCCTCGAGAGCCACCATCCTGCAAGTTTCAGATGCATCCCTGCTTCAACACACCTGAATCAAATGACTGGCTCGTTATCAGGCCTCTGTAGAGCTGATCCCGGTCTGTTGGAGTAAGGATACTTCTAAAACTTGCAGGGTGGTGGCTCTCGAGGACTGGACTTGGCCACCCCTGGTTTACATAATCAAGTCATATAAGGTTCCTACTTTTCTCATCTGTGATCATTTCTGACCAGTCACAGGCCTGGAGGTACAAGTGGTCAGAAGGCCCTCGTTTTTTAAAACCCTATATCAAGTAATTGTTTAAGAACCATAACATATAACGGGGAAATCAAGCACAAAACGAATCAAAGGTACTGAAGAGGAGAAAGCGGCTAAAATGATAAATAGGGAGAGAAAAAAGAAAGGACACAAAGTGACTGCACAGAAACAGAGAAGCAACACAAGAAAGAGCATTTCATTCCACGTGCAAATCAAGCAAAACCCAAGAGATAAAACGAGCCCAAAATATCCAAAAGGCTTCAGAAACAGAACACAAAGGCATCGAGACACCCGGAGAAACTGCACATAAAATGCAATGAGAAGCAGAGGGTCGGCCTCAAAGGGACAGGCTGGGTTTGCTCAGAGATTCAAATCACACCTGGTGGGAGACTTTTGATTCATCAGGTTAATTCTCAAACTGCGAGTCTAAATCTGGCACATTTATATGACAGATTGAAATGTTCATGTACATTTATTTGCATTGTTCCTTTTAAATAAGTAAAGACACATCAAAATAAAGGGTTGTAATTTCTAAACGTTTTTTGATTAAGGATTTATTTTTCTCATAATATGTGCACAATGAGCCAATTTCAGTTGAAACAAGAAATAATTTTACTCGTTATTTTAATAGTTCCATATCTGATTTACTGAAATAATGAGCAAAACAGACCCAGTGTACCGGTACAGTTGCTCCATCGCGTCATCCTTCTCAGCAACTGCTTCTTCCTTAAGACAGAAAAGATATTCGGTAAAGGCAATGAAGTATTACACGGAGGTCAAAAAAGTATCAGATTAGAAGAAGTTGGTGTTGAGTTTGTGTTCACTATCGGGTCAAACGTGGACTTAAGCTGAAGTGCGGCAACTTCCTCTCTTCATACACATTCAGAACAGATTGAGCGAGAGATAGAGTTTAAAGGCAGAGGTGAGGGAAAGAATCACAATGATTTCAGCAGTAATTTCTCAGCCCAGTGGAATTACAGCAAGCTCGATCAGCGGCGGCAGCGGCAGAATCTGTAATTATCCCCTGGATTCAATAAATGCGAGAAGGAACAAAGAACGAGGAAAAACAGTTTACTGGTTGGTAAAGCGGTTCAGTGAATTGGCCCTACACTGGTACAGGATAAGACGGAAGATAATAGCTTCATCTGCTTTTTTCTTTTTTGTCTACCTGAAGAGCAACTTCACAGGGGTGCCACAGTGTTTGGAGGCAGAATCGATAACACTATCAAAGGGCAGAATCTCCACCTTAATGAAAGGAAAGAAAATACTGCAGGCAACAGGCACCGAAAGACCACGAGAGATCTCTGTGTATCAGCACGCCCAAGACTAAATATGAAATCAATTCATTACACCCGTTATTCCCTTCTCAAACACAGTCCGGTGCTGAGATAACAAATTTATCTCCCACCTCCTTTATTTTCCTACTTCTTTAAGTCTTTCTCTCTCTTTTTTCTTTTTTTTTTTCCCCCCCAGCCTCCATCACAATTAATGAATTGAAGCAGTGGACACTTTCCAGTAACGGAAACAGCATAAATAGATTAAATTGCAGAGGAGATTATAATTTATCATTTCTTTATTAAAAAGTAATGCAGGCGAATTAACTTTGAATTAAATTCTATTTGCATGGCATTACAGGAATCATCTGTGTAAATGGCTTAAAATCCCAAATGGGACATTGCTCCCTCCAACTGTATAATTGTAGAGAAAGAAACTTTTTTTTTTTCTCCATTGCTTTCTCCAGGAAATTAATAAAATTCCAGAAAGTAGTCCGAAACTGCTTGAGCGGTGCGAGATGTGTGACTTTATTCACTTTGTCAAGGCGTTTCTTTACACTGTTCAAGAATTAACATGGAGTTTTATGTGAAGGTTCTAATAAAAAAGTTGTTTATTTTGTGGATTTGAAGTTTTACTGACTATATATGACTAATGTTATGACTAATATTATTTTGTAAATACTGCTGCTGTATGTAGCTATAAGTTTATTTCAATATTAGCATTTTTTAATCTTGCACTAAAAATGAAATGGTAAAATTAGCATGACTTTACCGCATATTTTAAATTGTAAATTTTGTGTTGTGCAAAATTAACTACGCCAAAGCTGAATGCAACAGAACATAAAAGAGAAAGTATATTTTTATGAAAACGGTAAGTTGTTGATATGTTACTTTTTACTTTCTCCAAACATTTTGCATAAAAAGTATGTAAGATTTGTGGAATTTTGTCTGTTTGAAACATGTTTTCTCTCTGGATTAAAACATTTGCACGTCTACTTATAAGGGAAGCGACATTATTAGTGTGGTTGACCAAAACCCTGGCTAAGTGATGAGAAGTAGGACTTTTAGTTCCTGCCATTGATAGTTAATGCACAACTGCCTAATACATTTTCCACAGCTGGTCAGAACTGGAACAGCAATCACAGCATCTTCCTCAATGCTGCCAGAATTTTTGTGTTTTGAAATATCTAGTTTGTCCAAGTTAAAGCTCTCAGAAATTAATTCTCCTCATGCATACCTCCTCACTCGTCTTTAGCTTTTGAACCAACATTCTAACTAGAGATAATTGCCATTTCATAATAAAAATCTGCTCAAAATGACTTAAGATAGTTTTAATTACATTTTAAATGCTTCATAAATAATTTAAAACCTTCCAAGGTGTATACTGAGCACATGCTGAACCACTCCAACTGATGGTTTCCATTGCAGAGGAGCAGCATCTCTCCTCCAAGCTCCTCACAACCATACAGAAGATGTTATTTTGTTCCACTTTTCTCATGGATCTCACTCTTTGGTCAATATTCCTATTCCATCACCAAAGATGAGAGTTGGGACATGGATGGACCAGAAAAGTGAGAGGTAAATAAGATAAGGAGGTAATCTCACTTACCTCCTTATTGTCATGAGATGTGGTTTGTGGTGGTGAGGGAGAACGCTGATGACCCAGGTTGTGATGACGATGTTGAATTTAATAATGAATGTGGCTCAAAACAGTCCAGATCAGGCGGCACGGCAGAGACAATAGCACACAGCTAACTACCGGTAGCGACTGAAAAACTGAGGACTGAATAAGAGAGCTAACCAACACAGGACTTTACAGTAAGACTGTGATGGCAGGCTGGCAGACAGATGACAAATGACATACGACGAGGATCTGATGAGGAACACAGACAACAGGTGGGACTAAATACACAGGGAGGGTAATCAAGGAATGAGACACACCTGGGAAGCAATCAACAGGGAAGACGCAGAAACAACAGAGACTCAGGACAGAAACTGAACACAGAAAAACCTTAAAATAAATACACAGAAACACGGATCATGAGACTTATTTTTGAAGGGCTGAAGGAGTCTGGTGTTTCTCCAGCAGCCATTGGGCGAGAGGAGGCACACATCCTGTAAAGGTCTCCAGTGCATCAAAGCGAAACACAGAACAAACAATCAGACACCCACCTGACTACAGAGTTCATCCAAAATAATTACTCTTTTGAGGATTTCTTGGTTTTATTTATGACTTCTTCATGTCTCAACATTTGTTGATAGTAAATTGGTCCAACATTTTTATTTTTTATTTTGCCTTACTCCAGGAGTTTAAAATGATCTCACCTTAACGTCAACATTTTCTCAACACCATTTTGACCCATGCCGGTGGTTCTCAGTCTCTAATAAATCTTGATGTGGCATGGCGTCCAGCATCATTAAGTTTTCTTGTGACACATTTTAATGAAATGGCTTAAAAGCAAGTGGGGAGTAAGAGACCAAGAAAGAGAAAGAAAAAAAAAACGAGGCAGACATTGATGAACAATTTGATTGGCACATGACTCGTGGGACATACCAAATGAGTTGAGGCCCATGGGACACGGTAGAGATCTGATTAGCTGGGCATGGTGAAAAATAGAGTGTACCACAACTAATTCAAGGCAGAATGAAGAGAAATTGAAAAATTGCCCAAGCCTCATTCTCCTCATTGCAGTTTTTATTGAAATTCAATACATCTCAGCAAACGTCTCCTTGCCTTTCTGCCAATCTTTGTTTTTTTTTGTTTTTTGTTTTACAGTCGAAACAAACACACACACACACACACTGGATTTGGTTCATGAAATACACAAATTTGCCATTATAAATACACAGATCTGTGCACGCACGTGCACACACACACACACACACACACACTGAGGGCTTTTATTTTCTCCAATGGAGTATGTTTTCAGTTCAATCATTACTCTTTGATACTGAGCCATTTTGCTCATGCTCAAGGCCATGTACTGAAGATGTGGAAGAGAAGAGTGGAGGGAAGGCGCGCGCACACACACACACACACACACACACACACACACACACAGAGCTTGAACATCCACTGACAGTGATTGGCTCCGATGTTTTTGGTGTTAAGGCGGTGGTGCAATATTCTCCAACACAGTGTCAGAGTAGAGCCCAGCTGTGGTGACTATTGATATGGCTGGCACAGACAGGGGCTCCCTGAGGCCACAGCAGGCTTCAGCTTTAGTTAAGTGCAGTCTAAACTGGCCAGAGCACAGCTAATGCATGACGAATGACAAGGTTCACTACAGTGTACATGCTGACTACTGTCAACACAGTTGCAGCATTGCCACTGTGGTGCTAGTGTGACTGTAATTTTTGTATTTAGTTTGAAGAAGCACAATAGGACTCAGCAGTCTGAGATTACAGGGGGATTCTGCCATGGAACCACATAAAGTGAACAATGACTGCAAGTTGGTGTTTATAAACAAGCAGATCTGGTTTACGCGACCGCCACTCACTGTTACATTCGAAAGACGATTTTTGCTTTTTGTAGAATTGTGTTCACCTTCCTTGTAATAAAGCTAATTTGAGTAAATTAAAACCTTTCCAAAGAATCCGATACAACCGTCATGTTGCGGAAACGCAACATATGAGGTGGAATAATTCACTTTAACCAAGAAAAAAATCTAGTGAAACAGATCTACGTAGATGATTCTGGAAACTAATATCTGCCAAGAGACAGAAGAAAAAAGTAACGGCGAAAGCACAACAAATTCTGATTAAAATCCTAAAACATGCTTCCAAATGCATAAAGTAGGAAAAAAAAGCAAGAGAGGAAATATGTAATGTATGTAATTTATGTTTTAAACATTTAAAAACCCCCCCCAAAAAAAAAAAAAAAAAAAAAAAAAAAAACGAAACAGAAGTAAAACCGTTGTTAATTACTTCAGAAGATATTAAGGTGTGCTTTGTGAGAATATGTCCAGTAGGGAATTTGTTCTGCAGCTTCATAAAAGGTAACATATGAAACTGAAATCATTTTTTTTTCTAAATCTCCTTTACAATTCATTCCTTAGTGGTTAAGGTCAGGGAGACATATAATATGGAGGCTTTGTCAGAGAGACGTTGTGAACGTCAGCATTGTCCCGTTGAAAGACCCATTCATCAACATGCAGACAAAGGCCCTCAATCAAGAGAGAAGCCTGCTGCAACATCTTCAGATAGCCAGCTGCAGTTTGATGACCCCAGACAACCAGAAGCTTCATTGTTTCACTGAAGGACAAAAACCTCCCAGATCCTGATGGATCCTCCTCCTCTGTCTCCTGTCGAGTCTTCTTTCAGAATCATGGATTTTCTTGTCAATGAATAATACTTTCATACCTCTCCCTAATATCCCATGTTTTTTGCAGAGTTGAAGTGGTTTTTGGTTTGGAAGGACACGGGGGGGGAGAGGCAGTAACAATTTACAATGGTTCCAATGTGAATTTTTCAAAATTAAATCCACTTTTTCCCTCGTTTTACCGAACCCGTTAAACCCTTTTTAAACTTTTTTTTTAAGGCTACCAATCTGCTGGGTATCTGAATGGCCACATAAACCCATTCAGTCACACACACAAGTGCATGCAAAATCCCCTCCTCAAGTGCATTTCCTCTCACAAGCACACACACCTACCCCCAGTGTCTTGTCCTTCCTGTCTTCTTCCCTTTTCTCTTTCATTCTCCCCTTCTCTCCTTGCATTTGTTGGAGATTGTTTGAACTCTCTGGCTCACTAAGATGGTGCTAAAACAGAATATAAATTAGCCTCCTCCATCTCCCCCAGATCTGTCTTAATGCTGCGGCTGCTTATGCACCCCAACCCCACCGTCAAACTAACCACCAACCCCTCCCCATGCATAAATAATAAAACAATACAAAAGGAGGAGAGGCCCGCTGTCGAGGCACACATGAAAGAAGTGCCGAAGTCGGAGACAGAATGACAGAATCCCAAACTTCCTCAGAGAGCACGAGCCGGGTGTGGTGGGAGGCTGGGATGGGGCACAATGAAATAAAGCAAGTGCACATGTTTATGTATGTAGAGTGCATGTGTGTTTGCATCTCCACACTGTTTGTTCTCTGCGTCTTGCTCTTCCTTGGAAATATTTTTTTTTACTGCTTTTTTCGTCTGTTTGTCTTTGTTTTCCTCTGACTTTGCTGAACTGTGTTGAGTATCAAGTGTCAAGCATATCAGGTCACTCTCTCTGTGCGCCCCCTTTTTAACATAAAGCTGCAGATCTGTAATGAATTAAGAGAAATCATCAGTGAAAGCAACATGTTTATCTGTCTTATTTATCAATGATGCTTTTCATGATGCTCAAGGACAAAATCTCAAGGTGAAACGTTGAAGAAGAGTGTGTTGTCTTGAAGTGCCATCATCTATGAATTGGGGCTCTGCAGTGCTAGCAAGAGTGCTTACATTTCTAATTTCTTTATCTGAAACGCAAACACAAGAAGTTCAAGTACTGGAAAAAATCTAAACATTCTGGAAAAAAAATGCCTGATCAAATGATCATCTGCGTCAAGGATGGAGAACAGATAATAACAACTAAGTCAGACGTCACTGAATGAGCTTTCAAAAAAACCTCCCGTCACGTATCCCATTGTCTACATCCGTCTGATTGTTTGGTGAAGACGACAGCGGTACACCTTCAGTCCAGGACTGAGTCAAATGAGTAAGACAATAAAAATGCCTGCAGTACGATGAGCAGGAATCACAGAAGCAGTGCAGGAATTCTTTAAAAATAATCCATTCCTACAGAGTAGATAAGACTTTTCTAGATCTTCAGTTAGGAAAAAAATGGTATTTTCATACTGCACCACATTTACAATCTACAAGGCCATCATTTTTTTGTTCTGCAAAAACTGAACAAATTCCTAGGACAGTACTTGGTAACAAGGCTTCCACCAATATGTATAAATACAAACGTACATTTCAGTACCTTTTCCCAATTTAGATGGTGAGAATTTTATTCAATGCCTTTGAGCATGGAGTGCTTTGATGCAATGGCTGTTTTTAAGGAATTTTTATAGTTTCAGAAAAATGAGGGACATTGATTAGTTCACACAACTTCACTTCACACAACTTTGAGTAAAGCAGACTTGATACGCACAACACAACCATACAGGCAAGCCTATGGACAAATCTTTTTAGCGTCGAAACCTTAACATTAATTCCATAGCCTTAAGATGACTGTAATTTGTACGTTTTTCATTACCTCTCCATCCTCTCCACCCTCATTGCTCTCATATCTCCAATTCATTTAAGTCTGGATATGTGTTAAAGGGGATTTTGTTTTCCCAAGACATCAATCTGCATGAAGTACATGCCATCACTGGTTAAAAAAGGGAAACATTTTGCTTAGTGATGCTGTACTTTTCCCATGTTTTAGCACTTATTCGTTTATATTTTGTATGCAGAAAATAGGAGAAAAAAGTGGATTTTGTACGATACATCCCCTGTAAGGACTTAAGGTGAAACCATGAAGCACAGTGGGGTTTTTTCTGGTTCATTCTGTCTGATCCATCATTTTTACCACATTTAGATCTAAAACATTTGAGCTATAGAGCCCTTGTAATGAATACATCTTAACCTGTGATTTAGATGTCAATAAAATTACTAAACTCATGAAATGTTAACTTTTTTCGGGTTTCCTTGTATAAAAAATGTTAAAGTACACGTACGAAGTAATTGCCCCAAATATCAACCCTGAGGTGAGACAGGGATATATTAAACCTGTATTCAAGTTAGAAAAGAAAAAAAAAAAAGATCATTTTGCCAAAGCCAGTGAATAACTGTCAGTATTTCTCATTAGGAGCAATGATGAAGGTGCAAACGCCGTCCCAGTCAAATCTCTTTTACTACCTCTTCTGGACAGGCAGCTTAATGTGTCGTTATTTAGAATTAATGTAATTCACTGAGAGATCCGAGGTCCATTGTACCTTAGATGTGTATTCTCGTGTCTGGTCCCCTGAACAATGCTCTGTCATTTTAACAGAAGCTAATATGATTAAAGCACTCCGACAATAGATGGTGTAATTCATTTCATCATTAGGGATTGTGGACAGGGCCATGGGAGACGAGGGGGTAGATTACTGAGGCTGAATGCTAATTTGGGCTCAGTGGAGAAGGCCGACAGCCAAATGGACTTCAGATGAAAAGTATCATTTAGAGTCGAGTTGTCGGGAAAAGAAACCAAATTTCTGAAAGTGATCCATCACGCTATTTGAGGCAAGGGTGGAAATTCATCAATCATGAGATAGGAGGGAATTTATGAAGTGTAATAATTGCAATAATCCCCAGTGCGCTCCTGGTTAGGTTTGGATGAGGTGTCCAGTTCAATGGGAGATGATGCCAGGGTACAGAAGGATCAGTGTTTCTATTTCTAAAATACTCTATTTGCAGACAGTTTTGCTCTATTGCTGTGCTTAGAAACAGGACATTGGACCTTTAGCCTCTACTGAAGGTCTGGTTCTCATTAGCATCTAAGCAGAGCTAGACAGTGTCATCTGACAAGTCTTTCATCTTCAGGGAATGCCTGGCACTCTCTGCAAACACCCAGTCACTGGAGGGATACCACTTCACATGTTTGCCTATAAAGTTACATGCCTATTAGGCCACCGCAGAAGAAGTGTGTAACATCTACCGTCTGGACGATTATGAATAAGCCTCAAATAATATCAAATTTTGCAGCCCACACCAAGAAATTGGGTGTCAGCATGAGAACAAAAGTAAGCTTCAGCATGGTTGGCAAGTTAGGACCCAAATATGACAGAAAT